TCCCGGCTGACTGCGAGCTCGGTGCTGCGGACAACCCGCACGAGGTGCTCGCTGATGCGCGCTGGCTCGCCGCCCCAGATCACCGCCGCTTCCCCGCGCGGCTCGCGTGAACCTCGAGCCGCAGCGGGCCTTCTCCGTAGCTCGCAGCTTGCACTGGGACCGCTTCGTACTTCCGGTTAAAAAATCTCACATTGCAGGACCTGCACAAGCAATTCTAATCGAAGCACAGACACCGTCAGGATCTTCGCACATGCATCAGCGATGAGCCAAGCACAGACCATTCACAGCAATTCTTCTGCGGCTTGATGCCTATGCTGATTCAGGCTTGGTTTGTGGAGCACGTGACTGTCGGGAAGGTCACGGAAGCCGTCAACAGTCCATACCCTGGGAAGCCAGCATGGCAAAAATCGCTAGATCAAGCTTCCAGCGGGACGACTTGAAATAGTGTAGCCGATTGGCTCTGCTTCTGAAAACAAGCCCGAACTGCAGCTGCATTCGACAACCTACTAGCGCAGAGCAAGCCCCAAGCCTCAACCCTTGCAGGCTTGATGTCAGCCTAAAATAAACAGCAAAAGTGTTCTAAACATGTTTCCAATGACCTGAAGATTCACCGCTCGTATGGAAGTGGTGGTGATCCTCCCCGGCAGCCTTAACATTCCCCCGCTATGTGCGTGCAATAGTGCTCTAACTTCAAAAGATGCTTGAAATCCGTAAGGCTCGAGTGCGGTAGGGTGTCGATGCAGGTTTGCATTGTATGTGCTTAAAGTGTAAGGGGGTTAGCTTCAGCATTTTCGCACCAATCGTGTGCGTTTTGCTGCCGTAGTTGTTGAGACCATTTGTCGGCAGATCTCTTACAAGTTGTTTTTATGACACCATCGTGTGTGCTAAAAAAACGAGCATCTGTCAGCAGATCGCCCGCAGACCGGCTCAACAGAATCACATAGAATCAGAGTACCAGTCGATTCCATGTGAGTCTGGCGAGTGCCTGGGTCCTGCCGAAGGGCTTTCCGGGAGCTGTAGGTTGGAAGTTCAACGGTTCGCCGGCGTCACCGCCTATCTTCGCAACCTAGTCTAAAGGATTGCTTTGGGAAGCTACCAGAAGTGTCATGCGACAGTTCGGGTAACCGCAACCCAACACATCCAAGTTTGCACGGCGTTCAAAGCACGGCCCCATAAACAGCCGACGTCGAAAACACGGCAAGGAAGCAGCATGACACGCCGAAAGCGCACAGAGGTCACGGCCCGGAAATCAGCATGAGGTAGGGATAACGGCCCAAAAACGGAGAATGTGTGTATGGCCCACAAGGCACAGAGGCTCGGCCCGAAGAAGCAGTGAGACGTAGCAGAGACGGCCAGAAGATGCCCAGGCTGACAGCACACAGGCGGGCCAAAACAGGCATAGAACCCTATATCCAAAACATTTATTATTATTTTTTTTCGGACACGTTTTTGCTCCTGCAAACTTGCCTGCGCCCCAGCCCTATACCCCACTGGAATTTGCACCTGGTGCGCACGTCGATCCCGAATGTCTGGGCTGTAGACAGGCGGGGAAATAGAATCACCACCCTTCCCGTTGTGCGAAAAGCATGAACAATACACAACAAACTTGGTCCTTTCCCAGCGCGAAAGCAGAAGATCCCAACCTCACTCCCCTGCTAAACCACCCAGATTGGGTTCAACATGCGTAAAACCTCTATTTGCTATGGTTGACGTGATATGTTCCTGCTTTCTCTTCGTGTTTGGGCCGCGCGTTCGGCGGCTTTTCTGGCTACGTACCGGCCGCTTTCTGCCAGGCACTTTTTGCAGCCGGGTGGCAGCTTTTACGGCGACGTGCCAGCCGCCTTCTCACTAATTCTGGCCTTTTTCTTTGACTAGACGGCCGCCTTCCGCCTCTCCTTCCCTCCCTTTTGTTTTTTTTCTTTGCCGGCAACTTGGTCTGCATTATGCAAGAACCTTCTCTCGAACCCTTCACATAAGGCGACCATGATGTTTTCGGAGCTGCCCTGCGAATGCGGGAAGGAAAGAGCGTGGGCGGTTGCCGCCACCGCTGCTTGCCACTTCCACTCCATTCCGCAAGTGTCTATCTGGAGCATTTTGAGGCCGACCACGCCAAATCCTCGACCCGATGCTTGCGCCTGAAAGCTTCCCAGGCTGCGTCGATCGCCGTCGCGGCAGGAGGTAGACACCCGAGATATCCGCCAACTTGGGCAAGACGCGTGTCTTCAACTACGAAGGTGGCCCGCCGCCGCCAGGGATCGCGGATCTGGGTTCCGAAGTCTGGCGCGGCAGCTGGCCCCCACACCAGCATGGCTTCGTCGCACTCGGCACCCCCATAGGCACGCCAGAGTACGTCTCCGCCTGGGGCGCCGAAGGACTCGAAGCGGAAGACGCGTTGCTGCGCCAGCTGCCTAATTTGCCCGACCTACAGTGCGCATGGCTCTTCCTCAGCTTCTGCGCCGCACCCCGCGCTAACCACGCGCTCCGGACCGTCCCTCCCGACCTCAATGCGCCATATGCCGCCGCACATGACGCAGCCGTATGGGGCACCTTCCAGGCTTGTCTGGGCGCCACCGCGGAGGACGAGTCGTGCCCTGCAAGGGACATCGCTTTGCTCCCTGCCAGGTTGGGAGGTATGGGACTGTCGCAAGCCACGCGCACCAGCCGCGCAGCCGCGCGGCGTATTGGGCGGCTTGGGCCGATGCCTTCACAGTGCTCCGCGCACGGTGCCCGGCCTTTACGGACTGGGCCGTCCGCTGCCTCGCTGACGCGCGTGGTCCAGCATGCCTTCGAACAGCTTCTGCGGCCCGTGGGCTGCTTGCAACCGAAGGCTGGACGGACGTGCCTTCCTGGGAGAGCGTGGTTCAGGGAGCCCGCCCACCCGACCGACCTGACGGGATCACCGCGCACGGTGAATGGAGGCATGGGTCGCAACACTCTGCGTCGCGTACACGGAAACTTTTCTTCGGCGACCACGTGCTGCTGCCTCTTTTGCCACCTCCTCACCGCGCGCTCTTGAGTTCCCCGGCCGGTCCGCATGCCGGTGCATGGCTGCAAGCCATCCCCAGCGATCCCCACACATCGGTCACGCCCGAATCCATGCAGATCGCGTTACGTCGGAGGCTCCGGCTTCCACTCCCGCTCGCGCCAGGCCGTTGGGGAGCGCCTCGGAACCTGGGTGCGGCCGCCGCGCCGATGCACTCGGAGACCACGCACTTGCCTGTCCGCGGTCGGGCCTACTAGCTAGGCGGGCTGAAATTGTTGAACAGGCTTGGTGCAAAGTTGCGCGCGAAGCCGTCGGGCCTGAGGGACACGTGGTGCCCCAACAGTGGCTCGTCAACACTACTGCGCCAGGAATCGCACCCGATGACCGCAGGCGCCTTGACCTGGTCATCTACAGGCGCTGCACCCCTGGGCGGAGCTCTTTGCTGCGATGCGACCCTGGTCTCGCCTCCCACGCGCGATGGCGAGCCTCACCCCAGCGCGGCCGCACAAGATGGGGCAGTGCTGCGCACCGCTCTGCGCCGCAATAATGCCACCTACCCCGAGCTCGCTGCAGGCGGCGCGCAGACCCTGTGCGCGCTCGGTTGCGAAGTCCACCGGTGGAACACAGACGCCGTGCAGCTGGTCAGGCGCCTCGTTGGTCTCCGTGCGCACAGAGCCCCACCGGCTGTGCGAGCCCCTGCGAAAGCAGCGTGGGCCCGCCGATGGTGGAGCATGCTCTCCGTGGCCGTCCAACAAGCCGTCGGCCACACAGCGCTCGGGCGTGCTAGGGCCATGCCGGGACCGGCGCATACCGATGTGCCGGCCCTGGATGTGGTCTTGGACTTGGCCGGGCCGGACGGGCTGAGCCGCCTGTGCGATGAGTCGGCCCTAATACAGTAGGGGACCGACTTTTCTTTTCTGCTTTTTGGAGCCGGACACAGTTGCTGGCGGAAAAAGGTGTGGGATAAAAGAAAGTCATCCGAATCTCCGTGTTTGCGGCATAGGTGAAAAACGCCGGCGCAAAACGCGGACTTGAGCACGCGCGACAACGTGTCTTGTTCCTATAGAGCACAGCACAGGGCTGCAGCAAACTGCGCAAGGCGCATCCCGAATACCGATCGCGTTGCCGGGCTTGTTCAGCTGCGAGCTAGCAGGCAGCATCATGCAGCGACGGCTATGACGGCTTGAACACCAGGCCTGGTTGGACGCTTGGCGGTCGTGCAGCTTGCCAAAGTCAAGCCACGGCAGTGCGAAGGCATGACGTGACGCCCGGTTCCACGAAGCAACAGCACTTTGTCGCATGCTACTCCGAACCACTGCCCAGCGGACCCCACACCTAGCAGGGGCTTTGTATGGGAACCGCACCCGCTGAGGGTCCTACAATGCTGCGATGAAGATGCAGCTGCCTCCCAGCGACAATTTCAAGACCCACTCCCAGCATTACGGACGGCTGGAGGGGGAGGCCGTTGAACCGAATGGTTGACTCCCGGGGCCATAGCTGCAGTGCAGTGCGTGCGTAGCTGTGGTTGACAAGCAGGAGCACCCGTCGCAGACTGCGAGCAGAAAAGCGACAAGAAAATACAACGAAAGGGGCACGAAACACAACGGTTCGATCGCAGTACGATCGCGAGCTGCCACGGCGCGGAGATGTGCTGAGTCTAAAGTGTCCGTTGCAACGTGCCTCGACACAGTACACGCCTTTCTGTCCAATCATATTCCGGAAGCACAGACCTGGTCAGCGGAGCTCGTGGGAACAATCATTGCGTCGGAAGCCGCGCACATGCACACACATGCTCGAAGTGCGCCCAGGGACCGGAGTGCATGGCTTGAGAAAGTAAGAAGGGAGATAAAATGCGTGTGGGCATCCTCTCTTTCGTGAGCTCCCTATCGGTTGTGTTCATGTGAGGGTTCATGTGCACAATGCAGCCGCAGTTGGTAAACCAAGCTTGGAACTGAGGAGCTTCCGGAAACTGCGGGTGGAGCTGCCAAAAAGCAAACCATCACGAGACTTCAAAGTCATGCAGAAGATGAAGTCCAGCGCGAGTGTGGTTGCAGCTCCGGCGGCATCATTACCACATTCCGCTAGCACACGGAGGGTGTGCGATCCAGCTAGCTTGTTCGGTTCAGTGTGTGTATGCAACATATGCTGGTTAAGCCCGTGTTTCTCGTGAAGCTATCCAGGAGGGGATACTCGGACGAGATGGCCGAACAATGTCGGAGTTGGAGGACTTTGGCACCACGTAGGGCATCGTCGGACAGTGTAAGGCATGCCCCATTCATGAAGCAACTCTTCTTGTGAAACAGTGTGATACCCCAACCTACCTCAGCATATGCTGTTTAGCCGAAGGACATCACTCTCGAATGCGAGAGCATAGTTTGCTGCTTTGGAGAAGCGGCAAGTCCGGCCGAGCGGGTGGTCACATCGCTCCCCATCATCATCCAGGTGTGGGGTCGGGGTTCATGGTTCCACAGCTGCAGGGTTGTTGCTCCGATGTTGTGGCTATTTAGCTTCGTTACATACCGGGCGGTAATGCCCAACCCTAGGCTTAATGTCCTTTTCCGTGATGCACCAATCAATGGCCTCCCACGTGTTCATACAGGAATGGGTATTGTAAAACAGTTATGGCAAGTCACCCGATGGCCAATTAAGCCGCACCGCCAGCATGCAGGCAGGACGACCATCGCTTGTTTTGCATATCTTCTTTGGTTCGTTCATTTTGTATAGCATGGTGATAAGCTTCGAAAGATATCACATGGCATGCAGACATGCTGCTTCGTTCGGGACAGGCTGTGCACCATGTCGAAGAAGCGCTGTCCCCGCTTTTGTTGCTTGGCAGCCAAACATCCACGAAGATGGTGAGAGCTACACACTAAGCCTCGGGCAGTTTGCAACATGACATAAGCCGTGCGCATTGAGCCCGAAACTTTAAACCGTAGCCAACCTCCATGTGCTAACCGAGGTCGGCAGTGGAAGATGTGTTTGGGAGTGAGCCCTTCCTGCGGCCTGGAGAGGTGGAAAGGTGCTCCTACGAGATCCCAGCAGGTGGTTGCGTTGCTTTGGCTGCTGATGTCGCGGGTTTTACAGCTTGTATAAATTGCACGGTCTTAGCAACAAGATGCAATAAGTAATAAGCATCTTGCTATGTAGGTTCATATACGGGCAACAGTTGTCGATTGGGCTTCTTGTGATTTTCCTGGAGCTTAGAGTTGTTTTCTGGTTCCGTTTTCAGCCCTGTGCTTGCACTTGTGATGATGTTTAATGTTCTTACAACCTTTGTGTTCGTGTTGCTTTGATCGTCGCTTTGCATATGGCGTTTTGATTGGGAACAGGGCGACAGCTACTGTTCTGCTGGTGGAGGTGATGTGTGTGTTCTATTGCCAGCGGACAAAACCTTGCAGTGTCTGTAACGCGCGACACAGCAAGGTGTGCATCAACAGTATCCCGCACCCGCACGATCGCCCTTCATTGTGCGACCCAATCCAGTTTTAGGATGTCATGGTCTCTGGGTAGGGGCTGTTTTGAAAGGAGGCGAGGTGGGGTGTCATGATTGCCGGTCGCCCTCAGGCTTTCTGCACGGAAAGTCCAGGAGACGTTTGCTTGCCGTTTCAGGCATTTGGCGTCTCGAAGCCGCATTGGTATTGAGGGGGTTCAAGACTTCAAACCAGTTGTTTTGGCATGCCATTTGTTCGGGATGGGTTACGACATAGGAAATGGCACGGGAGAGCACCAGCAGGTGTACTGCAAAGCCTTCTAAGGCTTTAACAGTTATGCAGCCAGCAGACCCTCAAGCCCAGAACCCCAAACCGTATGATGCCTTCCTGCTTCATGTGACAGTAGGGTCCTTATTATAAGGGCCCCAAAACAAGGTACCCTTAATTTACGGAAACGCCTATATATTCAATTAAAATAAATCGTGAATTCGTGGTTTTTCATTTTTATGGGTACTTAAACCCAAAAAGGAATACAATGTACATATTGAATCCTATCCCAAGCAAGCATATTATATTGAATCAAACTAAACCCTAAACCTTTGATCTTAAACCTTGAATCAACCTAAACCCAAAACCCTAACTAAACCCTAAACCCGTGGGTCTTGAGCCTGGTGTCCGCCCAGGTGAGCCTGCTGCATGGCATGTGCCAGGGTCGAGCCGGCGTGACTCCAGCTGCTGGGACTTCTGTTTCTTCCCAGAACCTCCGAAAACCCTTTAGTTACGGAATACACCATAAGTTGTACTAGGAACCCTACTATGAATGATTTAAGGTGTATTCCTGAATTGGGCGTTCTTGGATCTCTTCATTCACGGCCTGGGCAAGCCTCTGGCAAAATGGGGTTTAGCGCGCTTACCCTGATCCTTCAGGTCTGAAGGGTTGAAGCGCTTCACCTTGAACACCCAGACTCGGCTCAATTTCCCAGTAATGCTCGGAGATCAGGACGTCTTACTGGAGGAGTTGGGGGATCCGGCGCAGCCGATTCGCATCCTCAGCCGCTTCGCTGATTTTCAGAACACCGAGATAAAAAAAAAACCTAGACCCGGGGATTTCACTTACATAAGGAACGCACCTGAAGTTAGCACAGAAGCGCCGTCGAAATGATGGCTTCATTGTCGCGGTTGGGCTTTCTGGTTTCGGATGCATCTGAGAGTGTACGGTGTAGAGTTCGGGATTAGGGGAAGGGTTCGTGTGGGTCAGATCTCAAGGCGTATGAAGCGGCAAGCAGTGACTGTTGTTTTTGCATGCATGGGCTGCTGCAAGCGAGTGGTTTCTTTGTGCGGCAGGCTGCAAAATTTCATCATAAGACATCAGTTCACAAAGTTTAAGTGAGAGACCGACATCCTGGTGGATGAACTAATGCCGCCTGGAGACTTCCAATCAGCATGGTTTTCGCAAACACCTTCTTTTTCATCGTCATATCCGATTAAAGCAAACCTCATACTCTGCCAGCTGGAGGAGCTCGGGTAGGTGTTTTGTGTTTGTGCTGCAGGAGACAGCCCAGGGCATTACCCACACCCTCACCTCACACCCATAGCCACCAGGTACCCTAAACCCTAAGCCCTAAGCCCTAAACCCACAGCCAACAGGTACGAACAGCAAGCTTCTTTGCTGCATAGTTGAATCCGGCGGAGATGGTGCCCAATTTTCGGCTTCTGAAGTTTTTTGATGAACGATCTGGAAGTCTTCGTAAAGGGATCCGGATCCTTCTGGTTAGTGACGACATGTTGAAGTATGGAGGGCTTTTTGTTATGATGTGAGTTACATCGCTTTGCGACTTTGTTTGTCGTCGTCTGCGTGATTCGGCTTCCGTCGTTTCTGGGCATCCTTTTCTGGTTCGACTGCGCCTAAAGAACCCTAAACCCCTAAACCCACAGCCGAAGCAGAAGCTGAGGTCCGGGGAGATGTTTTTCATATCCCAATCGGGGAAGTTCATCATCAAGATTCTTGGAGAGGGTTTAAGGTTTAGGGTTCAAGAGGTTTGGGGTTTAGTTCATCATCATCAGGACTCTTGGAAGAAAGGGCTTGAGTGTGCTTTGCTCAACATGTTTAGTTGTCACTGCCAGGGGTAGAGTTGTGTAGTCAATGCCACCTTGTGTGAGGACATGGCTTTGGGCTTGCAGGCTTAGACTGTTTTTGTAGGTCTCGTTGGGTGTTTATGTGGTTTCACCCAGCCTTGAGCTAAAGGGTTTGAGGTCAGTATAGTGGTTTATGTGGTGTTTTTGTAATAATGAGGACACGTCCAGGCGAGGTCTGCAGAACTCACTCTACGCAGGTTCGATGACTTGGGTTTAGGCTTCAGGATTGCTAGGCGTAGAGCTTGGGTTTAAGGTTTTGGGTGTGAGGTTCTAATGTTTACGGCTTAACATAACCGCGGCGGCAGCGGCGGCTGCAGCTGGTGCTGCAGTGTGGGTAGAGTACTAGCTGTATGTGTATAGCTATGTGTGAAGGCTAGGTAGGGGCAATGCAAGAGACAAGTGCGCCGCATTGACGAGTCATAGCCGTTTGTCCGTTTGTATCGCTCTGATAGAACAGCCCGTCATCATGAAGGGTCTCAGATGGAACTGAACCCGAAACCCACAGCCCACGTCTAAACTTTAAACACCCTGAGAAACCGCCAAACAAGGCAGTACATCCTAAGCCCTTTTTTTGCATCCAGGCCCCTTGAAGTCTTGCCGGGGAAGGGCGAATGCTGGGGCATCCTAACCCTAAATCGCGAAAGTCCTTATAAGCCCTACACGTCTAAACCCCAAACACCCAGGAGCATCTCGGATGCCGAGGGGAAAGGGCTGGAGGCAATTCTCCCGAGCTCTTCGGCGATGATTTGAGGGGTGTCGAACAAGTAGTAGCAGTAACGAATACTTCCTTCCAATCCTTACACGTATGCAAATGATATGGGACTAAATTCGGAGTAGTCCTTATGCAAATCTTGCCCGAATCTGCACCAAAATCCTTTCCTGGGATTCCATTTTTTCCACCCGGAGTTCAAGTTGTTTTGGAAGGTGTCAGGGGTTGTTTAGTCTGTTGTTTTTGTTGGTCTTCGGGTTTAGGGCATTGGGTTCCCGCTTCAATTTTTAATGGGAGGAGTAGCGGCTAGGAATTAGGATTTTCGGGTTTCAATATGTTTCGTCTTTTGCAGTTGAAGGAAGGGTTGCAGACTTTCGGGCATAAGGGGTTATAGTTAGGGCTGGCTTTGCCCAGTTTCGGTAATTGCAACACCACCGCCCAACTATCGACACATATGGCACAATACGCTTTAAAACACGTTACCACGCAGAAGATACTTTATTTCAAGTTGCAGTTACCCAAAATGGAGAAGGTTAGCTTCGTCCATTTCGGGGCATGAGTTTTCATCCAAAGCAATCCCGATAAGAACGGAACACGGGCAAAGCTGGGTCTACTCATCCTATGGGTCCTAGTTGAGGGCAGTGAGGCTGTGGATCCACACCCAACCTTGAACCACCGAAGCAAAAGTGCCCCAAGGCAAAGCAAGGCTTCTGACCCAGGAAGTCCCAAACCGTAAGCCGCAGGAGCCGGCCGCATGTCCTCCTTAAATGACGTTCATGGAGGGACCCTAAATAAGGACCCCTAGGTATATACCCTTAACATAGCTATTATATACCCATTATATACCCATTATATAGCCCATTATAGGGTAGTGGTCCCCATTAAATGCAAGGGCTCCCAACCATAGCTTAGAGCAGCTTGCCTCACCTGAGGCTACGTCAGCCACCTTGCCGGAGAGGAAGGCTCCATTCTTGGGCTTTATGTCGGACTGTATCGGATCGCTGCCCGTCAGAACAAAGGTAAAGGCTCAGTTTAGACCCAAAGAGCACCGAAGAGAGGTGCCTGAAGACTATGTAAGTCATGTTCTTCTCTTATTGTAGTCCCTGTAAGCGTAGACCATGGAGCCCAAAACCCTGCTGCTAACACCTCAGGGCTCCCTTTGCCTCAAGCACTGCCTGCAAGCCCCAAACCCTAAACGCACCCGAACCCTGACCCTGTTTCGGGGCTTGGAGGTTAGTCATGTTTAGGGTTTTCTGGTATCTTCAGGCCTTACAGTTCAGGGCTGCGGGTTTCTGAGACGGTCTCGAAAGGGCCGAGGTAGTCTCGGGTCTCGGGTTTAGGGATTCTCAATGGCTAGCCATGATCATGTCGCGCAGTCCGCAGTCATGAGTTAGTGATCATGGTCATTTTACCGGTACAGTACTAGTCATAGCATTTGCTGCCATTGAAATCTCAAAGTCGTAGCAACAACGACGATGACCCATGTTCAGTTGTACTTCACGTCATCTGGCAGTCTAAGAAGTTAGACGGAGGACTCCTTATTAAATGGCATGCATCTTTCAGAATTCCTGCCGATATGCCTGAACTACTTTTGTGTTTCGCTGTCAAGTCGGCCTGCGGCCGGGGCAGTCCTGCTTCCAAAGCATAAAGCTACGACCCTAAGCCTACAGCCCTAAACCTTCAGTCCTAAAGCCCCAAAAGCGCAAACCCTACCACCCTATGAAACCTTAACCCCAACCGCACTGAATCAGCAAAAATCTAAGCACCAAGCCCTGCTGGCATCTAACAAGTCCATTGCTTCAAAAAAGCCATAGGGACCCTTAGGGGGGGTAGGGGGAGGGGACTATACTTTCTCAAATAGACTATATTAATCCTTATCATAGGTATTCAGGCCCCCCCTAAAAGTCCCTATAAAAAAACACGCTAAATCCTAAGCCTTAAACCCCCAAGCGCCAAGCCCAAACTGCAAGTAAACCCTGAGACCCGAGGGTCCCAAGCCCCAAACTCCCAGGACATGGGCTCCGGGTTGGGGCAGCGCTACTTCACCATCATGCGCTCGGTCTTCGACTCACCAGTGCAGCCGCTTGGGTTGCGGGAGTCTTGTGGTTTCAGGGTTTGGGGTAAAAAAGGCTTAGGGCTCAGGGTTTAAGGTTTAGGGTCTGGGGTTTAGGGTTTAAGGTTTAGGATTTCAGTCGGCGCCTCGGTTCCTGGAATATGCGTAGTCCAGGTGTAAAAAAGGTTTAGGATTTAGGGCTAAGAGTCTGGGTTCAAAAGGGTAGGCTTGGATGCAAGAAAAGGTTTAGGGTTCGCATGGGGTTAAAAGTTTAGTCTTTGGAGTTTACTAGTTTACTGTTTGAGTTTCCCCAGAGTTTATGCTTTGGTTTTGAAGGTTCCTAGATTTTTTGTTTATGGGTGCTGAGGTTGCGTCTAGTCCACGGCATTTTCTGTCCGGTGGGTGCTGAATTTCGATTCTGAGTTCAATAGATAGTGAAGCTGTGTTGATGTACAAAAGCCTCTGGTTCGAAGAAGTCGCAACAAAGAGGGGGCAGAGCGCATGACTGGGCCTGTAACGCACTAACACCTCCCTGCGGCACTTGTGCAGCCCTGACGGGTTTGAAGGCGTAGTCATCGCCTTGAGCTCCGAGGCAAAGGGCGCAAGACATTCTGTATTCCCCTCACCCCATAACTGAGCACCACCCCGCATGCAAAATCCTAAACCCAAACCTCAAACCCTAAAGTCTAAAGAACCCTGCCTTAAACCCTTCGTGCATCCTACGCGACAAACTGCAGCTTAACCTACCAGAACTTGCTTTTTGGTAGGATATTATTCTCAAGCCCCAATGTAGAATTCATCGGAACCTTACCCAAGATCCGTACCGGTTGGTTAAGGCAAGCTCCCTTCCATACAGCAGATGCGAGGATGCTGGGTTCTTGCTACAAGGAGTTTACTGACCATAATAAGGAAACCAGGTTCTTTACTATAGACCCCCAGTATGGCAACTTAAATCAAGTCCACTAACAAGGTACTGTATTAGGGTCCCCTACTTTCGGAAACCCCCTAAACCCTAAACCCTAAGCCCTAAACCCTAAACCCTAGACAGAGAACCCTAAACGCTAAGCCCTAAACACTAAAGAAAAAACCCGATCCGAGGATGAGCAGGATGTACGACCTCAAGGGCTCCACCCACAACCGCAAGGTGAAGGCGCCTCCTTGCGCCGAGTTTCCTTGGGGGCTGCGGTTTTCCTTCGAAGAACTGGGGTGGGTAGGGTTTAGTGTAGGATTCAGGGTTGAGGGTTCGGGATTTAAAGGCAACTTGGAGGTACTTCAGAGACAGAGAGACTTCGTTCAACAAAAGGTTTTAGATCCTTGGGTTCTTCGGGTTTGAGCTCGGGGGTTCAGGGTTTGGACAGTGGTTTGGGTTGAGAACCAGGCTTCAGGTGTAGGCGTGGCGCAGGACAAAGAAAACAGCCCGGGGTTTTAGCACCTAGGGCAGTTTGGGAAAGGAGTTGGGAAAGGGATGTAGCGTTTAGGGTTTGGGGATTGATAGTTGCGGATGGTGGTTTGGCGTACCGGAGGTGGAGGGTACCCAGAGACTCCAATATCCCTTAATGAAGGATTACTCCTTAAATTATAATCGGATCCCGAATATGATTTAAGGAATGTTCCGAAATTAAGGGATATTGGGGTCTCTGGGCATGCCGATGCCGAGGACGAGGACGCAGTCTTCATTCGGTGCACATTGTTGCCGTAGATTCTCTCGTGCAAGATGTGAATGAAGAGGGGTGTGCTGAATGATGGTGACGTGATGATGTGATGAGGACCATGGCGACAACGTTGATGTTGGTGATTATGGTGATGGTGATACTTGAAGGATCATGGGACTTAGTAGCTAGGGTTATAATTAAGGTAAGTATACTTAGAATTACTCATAACCCCAATTAGGGTACTTATAACCTAACTTACTAAGTCCCCTGATCCTCCAAGTAATGATGCGGACGATGGTGACGACGATGAGGATCATGGCAACGCTGTGGTTGCAACGGCCGCTGGCTTAGCCTTTTGGTTAGTAGGGAATGGAAGAATGGTAGTAATAGTCGTGATAATTGTACCCCATTCCTCCATTCCCTACTAACCCAAGGTAAGTGGCTTAGCTGCCCAGAACGCTGCTTTCGGCATCTTTATCCCACCACCTTGAATCCCACATCCATCCATAGGCCTAAACCGAAGCCCGATGCCCAAGGCCCAGATCCCAGCAGCCTTCCCAAGAAGCCATACTCCTCAAAGAACCATCGCAAACACACCAAAAAGCTTGAAGAAACCCAGACCCAAAAACATGTAGATGTGGACATGCACAGGCTTTGAGCTCAGAGTGATTGTGCTGCCCAAAATATTTAGAAACTCGCAGAAGCCGACGAGATTTTCTGAATTCCTCGCCAGTCCACTACCTCTTCATGAAGCAATGAACTTCGTTTGGCTTGCTTTGACAAGCAAAACTCCACTAGGGTTAATCAAGCATGCTGTGCATGATAGAGGGATCCGCCATGCGAGTCAAAGCATACTCGCTCACTGAGGATTTGAGGAGACAAACGCTTAACCCATCATTTGGGAGTTTCCGAAAACTAGGGGTATCTGATTTTGGGGTCCTTATAGCAAGGATCCTACTATTTAGGGTACTATATTAGGGGATTTGTTGACTTGAGCACGAGCCTGGATCGCAGGGGCGGGAAGGAGGCGGGAGGATTGGCCAAGGTTTAGGGTCTGAGGGTGGACTCTAACATAGGGGTCGGAACGGCTGGTAATACTCTACCCTTAAAGGCTTTGAATCCCCCCAAAAGAGCACATGCATACACCTTACTCGAATGATTGTGACGTCTATATTGGTGTTGAGTTAGGGGTTCTGGGATGCGCCGAACGCCAAAAATAAACCTTGTGTGCCAGGACGATTCCGAAAGAGTTCGCAAGGACGAAGACCCCTGGAGTGTGATAGTGCGGCGTAGGGTTCAGGCTTTGATAGGGGTTGTGGCGGTTTTCGACCAACACCCCAGCCTAGAGGACGTAGGCCTAGAAGTCAAAGCGATGAAACGAAGCTTAAGGACTAGTGCTTTGCGGTTCTGTGGGCATTTTGCCAACTTTACAATTCTTGGCCTTCAGGCTTGTTCACCCGTGCCTCGGGATGTGTATCATTGCGGTGATGATTTATTCTGGTTACTTCCGATGCAGCAGCAGGGGCCACAGCAACACCTCCTGCTTGTTGCCGCTGTTACTGCTTTTGCTGCTGCTGCTGGTGCTGCTGTTTACATGCTTGCATCAAGAATCATCTTGGTTTTTGTCGAGGCTACCATACTTGAAAACCGCGTAGCCTCCGTCACAGCTGCATCACAGTTCTCTTAAAGCCCTTCAGGGTTCACTATTTGCCAGGCTTGAAACCTCAGACTCTAAATCTCGCAAAACAAACTCTGGGGTGGTGCTTCTTGGATTTGGGTTTTCTGAAGCGCTTTGGGGGCATCCCACGTCTTTAGAACCCTGTCTCCAACGAGCGACCATGCGAGTGGTCAGCAGCGCTCTGGGCATCAGGGTTGAGGGTGAGCGCTGCGCGTCGGCAGGGGTCGAGACCCTTGCCAAAAGGGCTACAGTAGAAGCCAGAAAGTTGGAACATCGTTATCCTCATGCCCTTAAGGTAAAGTAGAGGGAATCCTAGCACTAATCATCCTAAATCTATGTTCCAACTTTCTGGGGTTCGCTATAAGGGTTTACTGAGAAGGGTTAGCTTGGGGTTCGCAGCCCTGAGCCCTGCGACCTTGTATCCATAAAGCCCAAAAGAACCCAGTCCTAAAGTCTTAACTTCAAGCCCAAACCCTTGACCTTGAGGCCCGAAAACTTCTACCGAAAACCCCAAACCCTAAACCCTAAACCCTAAACCCTAAACCCTAAACCCTAAACCCTAAACCCTGGAGTTGAAAACCCCAAAGCCTCAGAGAATCCGAGGATTGGATCTCGGATGCATGTCGCTTGGCCGTGTCCCCCGAGGATGCTGCCAGCCTGGAGACTTGTCTGCCTCAGGGTCATGGGTAGTTATAAGGGTTCCTTTAAGGGTCACTTTAAAGGGATCTATAGGGGTTCTATAAGGGTATGGGGTTTATGGATAGTTATAAGTAGGGCTTATAAGCAGGGGCACTATATCCATGACCCACATTAGGGGAAGTTCATGGGTAGTTATAAGTAGGAAAGTTTATAAGTCGGGCACCTATACCTATCACCCACATTAGGCGACTTACAACCCCACTTATAACTACCCTAAACCCCTAAACTCTAAACCCTATAGAACCCTTAAACAAACCCCAGAACCCCACTTATAACCACCCTAAACCCCGAAACCCTAAACCCTATAGAACCCTTAAACAAACCCCACAACCCCACTTTATAACCACCCATGAGCCTCTTTAAGTAGGAGTCATATTAGGGGACTTACATGCCCCACTTATAACTACCGAACCTCCGTAGCCCCCAAACCCTATACCCTTAGTTATAGAATCCCTATAGATCCCTTTAAAGAAGGGACCCTTAAAGGAACCCTATGAGCCTCCAAGAAGCCCCCGGGTCTCCCCGAAAGCCTAAGGGCCCAGGGTAGTTATAAGGGTTCCTTTAAGGGTCCCTTTAAAAGAAATCTATAGGGATTCACGTATAACCCTACTTATGACTACCCATGAACCTCCGAGTAGTCATGACAGTATGCGATTGCTACTGATTGCCTTTCTATCTTCCTCTATCTCTGTATTTTGCTATCTATCCATGTGTCTGTGTGTTTATATATCCGTGCTGTAGCTGGCTTATTTTACGGGCCCCTAAACCCCTGAACTCATAAACCCCAAAACCCTAACGCGCACCCTGTCATCCCAGCCCCTTGAAAAAGTCGCTGCAAGGAGAAGATGCACGGAAGAGACACTGCGACTTGGCCTCCCCAAACCTTACTGTGCTCTGGGTTTCGGGGTCCTGAAAAGGTTTTGGGGTGCATTAATTGGCCTTGGGCCTTAGGGCTTAACGCCAAACGCAGTAAACTTCAAGTTTAAGCCTTCATCCCCAAACCACCAACCTCCAAACTCCAAGCTTCAAACTTCAGCCGCGAGTTTTGAGGTCCTTCGGAGCCCGGAGCCCAAACTGCGAAGCCGCAAAGCCCAAGGCTTTGCCAGTGAAGGTCTAGCGTCAACCCTGCATCCTAAAATCCTAAAAATCCCTGCTAGGTAGGAGGGAAAAATCCTAAAGTTAAAGCCTGCATTCCAGATCGAGCCACCCCAGAGCTTGGTTGAAATTCTATACGGGTGGCTGTCAACATGATGACATGATGGTCCCTTTTTGGGAACCCTAAAGATTAGGTGCCGTATTATAATAAGGACCCAAAAAGGGAGCCTAATATTGACAACCCCCCTAATACAGGCGGCTGGAAAGCTTTGGAAGCCCCAGACCCGTCAGAGCCCTTGCCCTCTACTCCCGAAGGCCTTGTGGCATATGACGGTAGAAGTTAAGCACAGCAAGCAAAGCTGCAGACAGGAGCGCAGCTAGAGCCTATACCCTGCACCGAAAGACCCCTAAAGCAAGTAAATATCAAGTCTAAATCGCCTCACCGAAAAAGACTGGCTCTGCTTGGGCTTCTCTCAGCCTAATTATCATCCTGTGGCTTGGTACAGCCAGTGCCTCACGTGTGTTTACTTGAATCTGGGAGCTGACTGCTGGTTTGATTCATAGTGTAGGATGCGGCGTACCCTGTATGCTGGGTACAGCCTTGAGGAGGCATACATTCCTTGAGACTTCATGTTGAGGTCTTCATGTTACAGTACGATTTGTGTCAGGGGCGGGAGCAACCATCAGTTCTGGGAAAAGCCAAAACGCAAGGCCCCTTATCCTCTCAGCCTTGAAAGCCCCAAAAGGCCTTGGCCATGAACCCGAAGTGCACCCTCACCAAACCCGAGCAAAAAAATCGAGAATCCGCAAAAATCCTTTGCCCCCAAACCTTAAAACCCTAAAGCCTCACCCCGAAACCCCCAAACCCCAACTACATGTTTTGCAAAGTCTTTGCTTGAACCAGAGGCTTTCCTCAGCCCGCGCCCGAGGGGGGCGGGGGGGGGGTTCCGACCAGCGCTGGGGGAGTTTAGACTAAGTTTAGGGTCGGGCCAATGGTTTAAGTTTGGGATAGAGGGTTTCGAGTCTGGAGTAAGGGGTTGAGAGACTGGTTCTGGGGGTGTAGGGTTTGGGTTTAGGGCCTAGGGAGATTGCTAGAAACATTTGGGTGCGGTGCTAATCTGCTAATTTATCTCAGGCACAGCATTGGGAGCGTAAGAGCCTAATGTTCGCAGACTTCTGATTTATAAGCCCTTTTAATGCGGATTTTAATCTTAATATTCGACCCCTGAAAAAGAAGGGGTTGATACACCAGGGGTCCACATGCGGATCTTGAGTACTGGGTTGTGGGTTTCAGACATGAGCACAGTCGTAGGGCTCCGCTTCAAAGCGTCAGAAGGCCAGAGTCCTTATCTGTCCCCATAACCCATTCCCCGATTCCCTACTAAGCAACGGAGTCCTTTAGAAGCGGCCCCCACCCTGTAATAGTGGTATAATAGGAATATAACAAGGCCCTAATATAAGCCTTATACTCACTATTACAGGGTGGGGGCAGCTTCTAAGGAGTCCTTATGCTTTGCAGCCCGCTTTCCGAACCAAAAAGATGGCCTGGAGTCTGAATCTGCTGTGGTGGTGTGAGCGGTTTAGGGTTTAGGGATTTAGAGATTTAGAGTTTAGGGTTTAGGGTATACCACCAAACCCTCAAATCACGTGTAGTATCCCCAGGACCAGAAGAGAGGACTGAACAAAATCACCGTTGCAATTTCTAACGGTTCACTATGCTTGTTTGTGCCGCAACATACCACCAAAACAAAAAGGAACTGAACCAGCTTATCACTGCTGAGGCGCTAAGGCCCCTTTCTGATGGCGACTCAGGATGCTACATATATAGGAAACGCTTGGTCCACTCTGAAACTTCCATTGGATACCGCCTCCTCAGTCACCGTTGCATAATCACCTTCTTGTTTTCTGGATGTATACGGCCCTGAGTAGGGCCCTTTGAAATTCTAATCGGGCAGTACCCAACTTATGCTCGCCGAAGAAAGGCCGGCTGGAAATCCCGATTGCTTGGGGTTGATCCCCCGACCGGAGTCAACCGAGACTTTTGAAAGCCTACACCCGCGATTGATGGCCTTCACACCTTCATAAACCTAAGATCTTTCAGCCCGAACCCCAACTCTGAAAGTCTGATTGCACCCCCCCTGAAACCCCAAGCCCTAACATCCCCAAAAGACCCTTAGTCCCAAACACTGAACATCTTACTATCATATTACTACCATATTATATTACCATATAACTATCCTATTGCAACCATATGAACGTCGCCTTCGCCGTGCTTCGAAAAGGCGAGTTCTCGATTATCGACTTCTCGGTGCTGATTGGAATCGCGGAGATCCAGGTGCCAGCGGTTCGGTTCGGGCTTACCTCCGGTTAGTAGGGAATGGAAGAATGGTAGTGATATTTTTTTTAATTGTACCCCATTCCTCCATTCCCTACTAACCCAAGGCACGCGGATGGAATCTAGGAGTCGGAATTCGAAATTATGATCCCCTCAAAGTCCTTACATCGCTACAGCATAATGTGCTGCCAATCCTTGTTCCGATAAATCAGGCCCTTATACTCGGAGGCGTGGGGTTCACTTCGGCGGGTTTAGGAGGCCAGCGCCGCTTGAATCCTAAACCCGAAACCCGCAAGCCGGTTTCGATTCTGCTTCAGATGTGCCGCCAGTGTAGTCGCGGGTTCTGCAGTATGAGCGTTTCCGAAAATCAGGGGTGCCACATTTTGGGTTTAGGAGGCTGAATCCTCAACCCACGGGCCGGTTTAGTTTAGGGTTTAGGGTTGTTCAGTGTAGGGTTTGGGGGCCTACCGTAGGGAGTCGGGTTAAAGGGGAGCTTTGACAACTCGAGGATCATTTCGCCAGGTTACCAGAAGTGGTTGAAGAATTCGTAGTCTCTTTCTGAGGGTTCTGCAATATGAACTAGGTTCATGGTGGAAGCAGCTCCGAAACCACTCATTTGTTCAAGCCTTTCTGAATGGAAATACACGAGCAACCCCATTAAACCAATGAAGCCTGAAACTTTCAACAAAAACCACCCAAACTCGTCGAGAAGGGAACTTTGATTCCGAAGCCCCGAGCCGTAGACTCAACACAAGGCCCGCAATTTGCTCAAACAAGCTTAACAATTGGTAAGAGCATCCTTGCATAGGGATTGACAGTTTTCTAGGGGTGCCAAGTACTACTAAAGTGCTGAAACCCCAAACCAAGAAAACCTGAACGTGTGCCGGCAAGGAGTCCGATGAGATTCCACCCCATGCCTGGCAGAGCGTGGACAAGTCGCAGTGCTTTCCGCCAGCTTTAGTTTTAGGGGTGTTGACGGGTTTGATGGGCTTAGGTTTTTTGGGGGTTTCAGGGTATCGGGCGCCCTTCCCGTCACATGCCTCGGCTGCAGCAGGGTTCCAACAAAATTCAGAGCAGTTCTTGGCAGATGTTCGGAGTAACAGGAATGGGGCACGGTCGTTCCGGCGGCTGCTGTTGCAAAGGCCCGGTTTGGGTTACCCAAGAGCCCAAGAGTCTCTCTTTCCATATGCAATTTGTCCGAGACCCTGCATCGTAGGTTCGCCCTAGCCAGGCGGGAGGCCAACAATATGCAACTTGCAGACTTGCGATGCTACCCAATGCGTCCGAAAGAGTCTAAGGCTCTAAGGAGTGTTTGGCTTTCTGGGTGACATAGTCGTCTGTTACCTTGAAAACCCGCTCCCCAAGCCGTATTCTAATTATTATTATTTTTATTATTATAATTATCATAATTATTAAGACTCCTTTTGCAGCGTGCCGGGCGAATGAACCATGCGAGGTTACTTCATCGGCATTGTCGACGTGCTGCGGCTGGGCTCTGGTTCAAGCTGCACATGTGCCTAACAGTTCAAGTTCAGGGCTTCCTCTGTCAAGCCAGAGTTCTGTGTTCAAAACTTACCTTTGGCTGGTAGGGAATGGAAAAATGGTAGTAATAGTAGTTATAATTGTACGACATTCCTCCATGCCCTACTAACCCAAGGTAAGAAAAGGGTTCAGGGACACCTTGGAAGGCAATTCTTCTTCTTCATACAGCTTGGATTATTCTGTTCGTGTGAGATACGCATCTGTACCAGTGGCACTCATCAACAGCAGATGGTGGCGCCAGGTATCGATGAGTTTTGCTTGTGTGTGCAGATTATTCAAGCCTTTACATCAATGCTTCGAGGACTGCACCACCGTACGGTCCCTCAAGAAACCTCGAAGTCCTTGTAACTGTGGAAGCCCAAAAGCCGTCAAGCCGTAAGCACCTGAACTCTACACCCGACACCCTGAGACCCTTGAATTCCCAAGCCCTACTTGAAGGATCATGGGACTTAGTACTTAGGGTTATTATTAAGGTACCAGGTATCTATACTTTTATTGACTTAGAGTGGAAGCCCAAAAGTTGGAAACCCCATAGCCTCAATCTTCAAGAGTAATATATAGTGATCCCAGCACTATTTGGCCTTAATCAGGTTTCCAACTTTCTGGGGTGTACTGTATAACCCCAATTAAGGTACTTATTACCTAGCTTACTGAGTCCCCTCCTCCAAGTAAAGCCCTAAGCTATGTGGAGCCTTGCCTGCTGCGTGCGAGTGTGAGTGCCGAAGACCCTAAACACCGTGGATCCACTGAATCCCTCCACCCTACCCTACTTGGAGGATCTGGGGGCTTAGTAAGTTTGGTTATAAGTACCTTAATTGGGGTTATAAGTAGTTAAAAGTATCGTTGCGTTAATTATAAATTATAACCCTAGTTACTAAGTCCCCTGATCCTTCAAGCACCCTAGTAAACCCGAAATCCCTAAAACTCCTGAACCCCGAGACTAGGGGATCCTCATACAGTACCCTAAGTACTAGGATCCTTATTATAGGGCTCCCAAATCAATCCTATAACCTTATAGCTCCCTTTAAAGAACCCTTCTGGATCCCTTAAAGAAACTCCCAAATCAATCCTAAAACCTTATAAATCCCTTTAAAGAACCCTTATGGATCCCTTTAAAGATCCCTTCTGGAGCCCTTGAAAGAAACTCCCAAATCAATCCTATAACCTTATAGATCCCTTTAAGGAACCCTTCTGGAGCCCTTTAAAGAAACTCCCAAATCCTAAAAACCCCGAGGATTGAGTATGGGCTCCGGAAGCGACTCGAGCATCTGCTCCACACTGTGAAAGGTGTGGGCCAGACCGTTTCCCGGCCGTCGCATTTGGGTTTAGGATTTGATTTAGGGGGTTTTAGTTTTAGGGGTTTAGGGTGGGTTTTCAGAGGGGTTTGAGGGTTTGAGGGTTGAGGGGCTTGGGGTTTGGGGTGAAAAGGAACCACGATTCCTTTCGCAAAGGGGATCACTGGATGGTGCCCGCCCTAAATCCTCAACCCTGAACCCTACCTTACCCCATATTCACACCTTTGCCCCTCGCTTCTGGAATCCTAGGCGAGCGTCACGGACCCAAACAGCTATGCCAAGCGCCAGCGTCGATTCTTCCGCGAGCACGTCCTCCCCGTGTGTGACGAGGTGGTGATCGACCGGTGCCTTGGTTTCAGTTCAGGTTCTTGGGTAGGAGAGAGAGAGAGAGAGAGAGAGAGAGAGAGAGAGAGAGAGTGCAAGCAAGCAAGAGAGGGAGAGTGAGACTGAGAGAGAGAGAGAGAGAGAGAGAGAGAGAGAGAGAGAGAGTGCCTACAGCGACTTCGTGACCGACCTGATCCACGCCAGCTCAAGGGGGAGCTTTGGGGGGGGGGTTCCGACTGTGCCTCGGGAACTCTGCCCGTCCCAAACTCTCTTCAAAAGTAACTTGCCCCAGTGGGGGAGCCCTTAGATCGCTGCCATACTCGAGAAGGGCAAAAACGCAGTACTTCAGCCCTGTGAGCGACCGAGTGACTGCAAGAGCAACCTCGTGCACTTTCTCTCCGAGGGGGACCCAGAGGTCCACACCAACCTCCTTGAGAAGACCAAGGCCAAGCTTCGCCGGGACTACCACACCGCTTAGGTGGGGGAGTACCGCATCTCAACGGTCGTGACTGTGGCCTGCCGGGGGAGATAACATACTTCCGTGGCTATGGCTACCTGCAGGCTGTGCCGATTCGGCGGGGGAGTGTGTCAGCCAGGGTTCCGTAAGGTGCATGTGAGAAGTGATCCTCAATGCCGTCTGCACGGGGTGACGGAACGCAGAAACATCCGTGTGGGGGATGCAAGTTACACACCACCACCAGAACCCACGGCACCAGAACCCACGACAATCCCCGAGGAGAGCCTGAACACCAGGACGGCTTTCAGAACAGAGGGGGGATTGCGTTTGCTTTTCCCGCAGGACACACTGGACCTGTGGGTGAACAAGGAGGTCCAGACCGATGAAGAGGGGGGTTTCTTCCCCGCATCGTCGGGGGAACCCTTGACGCCACAACAAGCGGGGGAGTACGCCACCTACCAGGCAAGGTTGTCCCACCGTTACCGCTTAGGAGAGCAAGCAGATCGCCTTGTACGTATCGTCGACAAATGGTTGCCGCGTGTGGCGGCGGAGAACAGAGTTTTCACGATGAAATTCCCAGAGAAGGTGCCGACGCTACTGAAAAGGGCATGGGCGTTGAAACGGAAGCTGAGGGCTCGAAAGAAAACAGCACGGGGGGACCGGGGGGCGTCGAGCTCGGCCCCACCAGTGCAGCAGCCAGAGCCAGCCCAAACAACAGAGGGGGAGCCACCAGGCAGTGCGATAAGAGAGAACAGTGCCTCAGACACGCCGCCGGACTGGGGGAGCACAGACGAAAGCCCGGACAAAGCCGTTGTTTCAGAAGGAGAAGAACCAGAGTTGTGGGAGAAAGGTGACCGCCAAGAGCCGGAGGACCAAGACGGGGGAGACATGCAATGGCCATGGGGCCCCGGAGGCAAGGATATGCACGTACCGTGTTTTGGAACTTTGTTCCATGACATTGTCAATTTGTTCCATGACATTAACATGTGACGCCATGACAAGAACACCAGTGACACCATGACAAGGCGTGCCGTGACTGTGCCAGGACTCAACCTTTGGAGGGTGCCGGGCCCATACCCTAACAGAAGGGACTGCCATGGGGCCTGGGTTTTTGCATACCCAGTGTTTTGCACTTTTTGCGCTACTTGTTGTTCGGTGCTTGTCGTTCGGGGTTGCTTTGCATGCTTCGGAAGGCCCTCTGGACCCCTGGAAGTCCTGCAAGCCGTAGTTATAAGCACAAGCCTTACACCTTACACCCTAAAACCTTCAGCAAAACCAAAAAAACCAAAAAAAACAAAAAAACCAAACAAACCAAAAAAACCAAAAAAACCAAAGATTTCCGCACTAGTCGGAATCCTTCAGACTAGTGCGGAAATCTTTGGTTTTTTTGGTTTTTTTTGGTTTGTTTGGTTTTTTTGGTTTTTTGGGTTTCCGCCACCGCTGACGTGCCCGGACAACCTTCCGCTGTGGCTGTTCTTTTGGGTGTAGGGTCTACGTAAACAAGACTACTCTCTAATCTATCTTATGTGATGCTTATAAGCAGTCCGGCTGCTTATGATTCCACGCAGGCTTTCTGCTTATAAGCAATCCGGCTGCTTAGAAGCAGGCTGTCTGCTTATAAGCAATCCGGCTGCTTATAAGCAGGCTGTCTGCTTACAAGCAGGCCGGTTGCGGCCTTCTGCTTATTGGCCCTGCTTCTGCTTATAAGCAATATCCTGTTGTTTACAGGCACCCGGGGGCCGTATGAGTAGCTATTCTAACCCCACCCACGCGTGCGCCAGACACCAACCAAGACGGAGAACACGAGAACCCACACCAATTGCACAAACATTACCGTAAATTTGATATCCTGACCTGTTGCATGTTTGATATGGAAGAACATGCCAAGCTTATCTAGCATACCACACGACCTGAATTTGTTATTATTTCCGGTTTCATGGTGTGTGCTAAGAATTCAATGGACCAAGCACCATGTAAACCATAGGGATATATCAAGGGGAATCGCGAGGATGGAAGGCATCCAGATGGGCCACGACCATAAGGAATCGTGGAGACTTATCTCTTGAACACGTGGTCATATACTGCCACACCATGTCATAGAATAGATACCAGGTGCTAGAAAGTCCCTTGTACACGTGGACTTTGCCTTTTTTATACACACAAATATTGCAAACGCACATGTAGATAAGTTATCTGACCATATTCCATCTATCTATCTGCCTATCCATGTATCTATCCACCTATCTATTTGTCTACCCATCCATCTGTACATTCATATACATACTGGTCTCAGCATGGATGATGTCACCGACCTCTTAACCTGGCAGCTTAGAGATATTGTAGAACCCTGATACAATCTATGACAGGATATGTTATGGCACCGCACAAGAGACAAAGCACACGTGTACAGTGTATATGTTTTCGCCGATTTGCAGAAATACCGTCTTGACACGGTCACATTAGCTGTGCGTTGTTGTGGGGCCCATTATAGCAAGTCATTGCGGCTGCTTTGAGATATTGCAATAAACATTGAACTGAGTACTCACACGCCACAGCCTTCAACGAGTCAAGACATAGGGCAATCAGAACACGGAAAGTCGGTTCTGCCCCCGAGAGTACCGGGTGTTAAAGTTGTAGAATACGCTGGAACGATGTATGAAGTAATTACTCATGTTTAATACTTCATGTCATTTCGCTTACAAGCGCTGGCGTATCTGCCGTGCACTTCGTATTGAGGCAGTAGAGCGTACCATGGTAGTGCAAACACAGAAGCAGTGCATGCATAGGCTTGTGAGTGTATGTATCCCTGTATGACTTAACGAAGGCATGCCCGGGTTTCTGTGTGCATCGTTAGTTACAGCGCCATAAAACCAGATGTGTATAATATGTGTTCCCCTACTGGCAGCAATATATACAGTTTTGCGATAGTCATTGGGTTGCGGATTGGTCTGAGATGCCACAGAAGCAAGTCGTACTGACATGCTGAAATACTACAGTGCAGACTCAACTGCATAGTATTCTCGCAAACAGACAGACCTTCAGCACCGAGTCAGGACATCAGGGGATCAGAACACGGCAAGTCGGCTCTGCACCTTAGATTACCGGGTGTTAACGTGGTAGGTTAACGTGTTAAAATAAGCTGGAATGATACATGAGGCAACTACTTAAATGATTCTTTCATTCCGCTTGGAAGCAGCTGAAGCAGCTTAGTGGATTGTGGTGGTAGAGCATTCCACGGTAGTGCAAATATACAAAAACACATGTACGGGCTTTTGAGTTTATGCTTGCGTGCATGTGTATCTGTAAGAACAAACATGCCTGCGCATTCACGTATATATACATGCACATACGTACTGCATAATGTTACACTTTTGTGAACATTAGCATGCGTAAATGCATGCGTGCATAGTACAATTCTATATGAGACCAAGAAACACAGTACTCAAAAAACCCAGGCCCCATGGCAGGCCGCTCTCTACCCTAAACCCTAAAGCTTAGGTACCTTAAGTACCTAAACCCTAAACCTTAGGTACCTTAAGTACCTAAACCCTAAACCTAAGGTACCTAAACCCTAAACTTTAAGTACCTAAACCCTAAACCTAAGGTACCTAAACCTTAAACCTTGGGTACCTAAACCCTAAACCTAAGGTACCTAAACCCTAAACCTTAGGTGGTGCCCAAACTAAACTTTAGAGTAAAAGCCTAGGTCTAGGTGGTGGAGCCATAAAGCCATGGCAGCCTGACAATGTCCGATCGTTTGTTGGTCAATTCTCCAGTCGTTCCTTTGCAAGGCGGGCCAGTTGTTTGGGCTTTCCTCGCGCCTGTCTTCTGTTCTTGTTGTGACACCTGTGTTGCAAGAGCTCCTGTAAGAGTGGGCGGTGAGACAGAGGATGCAGAGGCTGCTGTTGAAGGAGGAGAGCAGCTGGTAGAGCTCAGCGCAGCTCTGGCTTGTTTGTGATCTGATCTGATCCGCTGTAATGGCTTGGGGGCGTGGGGGGGGGGAGCCGGGGCGGGGGGGGGGGGGGGGCTGGCGAGGCGGGTTTTTGACCAGCTCAGTTCAGGTTGCCCAGCTTCGAACGATGTTGGCTCAGCGAGACCTGGACGTCTCTGGCAACAAGGCATATCGTTTCTGTCATTGTGCACACAAAACAGTTTGACAATCCTTGTTTTCTAAGCCGTCAGGCCACCTTGCTGCGGCGCCTTCGTGGTGCTGGGACAACGAAAGAGTTCACATGTTCGAAGTGTTCTCGTGTCGTGACCGAGTTGCCATGTGGAGACCGAAAGGAATGTCAAAGTTGCCGAGCTCTTGTGAAGCAGCTCTTGGCTCACGATGTAGCGGTCCAAGACTTGGGCCTTGATGCTGCCTTGTTGCGGAGTTTCTACGCGACAGTGGCAAATGCTCGCACTGCTTCCCCGATGCCGTGGAGCGATGTGCGAGAAATGCTATTGACGTCCTTGTCCTCACACCACGAGCTGAGCCACAAGAAAGTTCGCTTGTGCAAGGAGCGGCCGCTCAAGTATTGGACTGACCGTGGATATGATGAAAACATATGAAATTGTATC